AAAAATAAAGAATAAAATTTTGTAGACACTGACACTCAGAATGTGCAAGATATGCATATGAAAAATAATAGATACAAGCATAAATAACATAATTGATGTATCAGATTGTGGGTTTGTGTGTGATCTTTTGTTATCTACATTTTAAAATTATTTGGAGCATGAGCTTTTTTTTTTTTTAAACAATTGTAAGTTATGTGTAATCTGGTATTTCATACAATACCTTGAACTGTGTCTTGAATATATGGATAGTTAAGTTAGCATCTGTTTAAAATACAGGGCTCGGGTGATAGAGAGCAGTAAATAGAAGACATAATTTAATTTAAAAGGGAATATTCAAGGCATTCAATGAAAACAAGTCATAGATTTTGTTTGCTTTCTAGTCAAGAGATGGCAAGAGCTTGTTTTAAGTGTTTCACATGTATTAATTCATTTAGTTTCAGAGAAAGATTACTAACATATTTAATCCAGTAGGTAGGTACTATTGTTACCCTGTTTAAAGGACAAAAAATAGTCCTACTGAAGTATTATATTATTTACCTATGAGATTTTATATTTTATATATGAGATGCATATATATACAAGATGCATATTTGGGGGTGCCTGGGTGGCTCAGTCGGTTAAGCGTCTGACTTTGGCTCAGGTCATGATCTCACGGTACTTGGGTTCGAGCCCCGCATTGGGCTCTGCACTGACAGCTAGCTCAGAGCCTGGAGCCTATTTCAGATTCTGTATCTCCCTCTGTCTCTCTGACTCTCCCCTGCTTACGCTCTCTCTCTCTCTCTCTCTTTCTCTCTCTCTCTCTCTCTCAGAAATAAATAAAACATTAAAAAATTGAAAAAAAAGATGTGTATTTGTACAGTTACATATACATATGTTATATAGATGCAGACACACACTCTCTCTCTCTCTCTCTCTCTCTCTCACACACACACACACACACACACACACATTTTTATGTAAGGAAACCGAAGCACAGTGAGAGGTGGTATAAGCATCCACAATATCAGAGTGGTAGTCTGCTGTTGACTCAAGGTCATCTGGCTCTGGAATCCTTGTCCCTCACCGATAGAGTTGCTGCCTCTTTACGGATGGGCAGTTTTGCTGTCACAAAGTCCTTTATAAAAATAAACATTCTTCCAGGATATTGAAAGGTGCTACAAGTAGGAACATTTTCTTTTATTTATAATTTTTAAATATTTAACATCTCTTCCAACATACTAAATATATCATCTGCTTTGCCAATATCTTTCCTATCCCAGTTTTTTTATTTTTTTTATTTTTTTATTTTTCATGTGGCAGACAGGGTGCACCTTTGTCAAGCACAACATAGATAATATTACTTTATTTATCAGAAAGTTTCAGGCTTCTTATTACCAGTAAAAAATTCCCTGTTTTTCAGGCTGGGATTTAAGTCCTTGCAACTTGACCTTAATCTTTTCTTTTTCTCTCATATTTATCATACTTAACAGCCCCTATCCCCCGCCCTGGAACTGGTCTGTCATTCTACAGATATTTTTATGATGCCCTGTTACTTAACATTTGGCCTCAAATAAACAGGAAAAAAAGTAAACTATCATGGGCTCTCACAGTTACCAATTGTGTTTTAATCCTGCACATTCCCGACTTCTTCAATGACCTCTTTCTTTGAAATTCTGATGAGAGTTACTGGTGGTGACACTCTCCTGGGACTTACCATGACTTCTTCCTTCTACCTGCGGTGCCACCAACCTGTCTCAGCTCCTTGAAATGTTGCCTTTCCTTACAATTGCAAATTAAATGGCTTATTCCCTGTTAGACCATCTCTTCTTGTGGATACTTATAAGTACTTTGCCCTTTCCTTGTGGAAATCATCATATGCTATTTGATTTTAATCCTTATTTGTAATTTCTTTTACAGCTTCTGAGCTTCTTAACGAACAAAACTTACTTATGGTTTTCTACTACTGACCATAGTACCCAACTAACTCAATTCTTGTATCACCTTAGTCTTCTGATAAATGTTTGTCAACTTTCTTAAAGACTTAATCATACACTGCCCACTGCCAAGGCATATAGTTTTTTTATTTTATATTCATGTCACTCATTAATTTCTTGTTATATATGACTAGCCTCTATGATTAGCCTTTAACGTTATGAGTATGAGGATCTTTTGTTATATTTTCTTCTCATAGCATATAACAAAGTGAAATGCTAATAATTAGAAAATTTGGACAGAAGTTTGTTCCAGATATGGAATTTATTTCTCTAAAAATAAAATATAACTATTTATATTTATTCATTATCATATTCCTATTCTCTTTGTCACTGTCTTTGTGTGTCTTTTTTGCAATTTCTGTTTACCTCTTCTAATGAAATGAAAGCCATTTCACCCTTGTTGCTAATATCTATGCCTTGAGAAAGAGAGAGTTCCATGAGGCAGGTAACATTTTCTAAAGTAAAAAGGTCTTGGGGCACCTGGCTAGCTCAGCAGAAGAGTGTGCAACTCATGATCTTGGGGCTGTGATTTCTAGCCCCACATTAAGTCTAGAGATTACTAAAAAAAAATAAACAGCCTTTAAAAAATAAAATAAGAATGTCTTGAATATATTTATGTTTATCTTATATGGGAAAGTGATTTTTGTTATATGATTATTTTTCTTCCAAATTATATATTTAAATATTATACTGAATTACAAAACAAAACAAGATAAAGAAAGAAACCTGAGAAATCAATCTTTAAACTAATATTTTACTCTATTCTGTAAGTCAGAAATTACATATATTCAGTGTCATGTCCAAATATATTTCTGAGTTATAACTACATTGCAATTTTTTTATACTCTTCACTTATTCACTCAGAAGATTGTACTACTTGTTTAAGGCATTTTTTGAATAGGTTAATGTGCATAGATCTGGGATGAATGCCACTTCTATGCTCCTCTCCCACAGGGCCTTTTTATAGAGTAACTACTGTTAATAGTTTCTTCTGTCCTTTAGAGAGATACTTGCTCATAATTCTTTAAAAACATGGAAAAATATCATTGTCATAGTTGAATTAGAATCAAATTACAATTTCCTACTAGGACATTGTAGACTTCACTTAAAATTATACTACTTTTTACTCATCTTCAATCATCCTTGTATGTGCTGATAGCGCATTGAATGAGGTAACTATTCAGTAAATAAAGGACAGGAAGAAGGAAAATCTCAAGTGAGGAAAAAATAAGGAAGGAAGGAAATATAAAATTAATGTATAAGATTTACCTTGTGATTTATATGACTTCAGAATATTTCTAATTGTCCTATATTCAGCAAATATGCAGTTAATCTTTTATATTTCCAGTGGAAGCTTAAATTGGCATTAATTTCTGGCAGGCAGTATCATAATACAAATCAGTGATAACCTGAAAATTTTGCATTTGGTTTGATTTCTGTATCTCATTTCTGGCCATTTCCTTTAAGATTATTATCATTATAATTATAATCTACAAAAGATTTTATTTATGATGATATTGTGCATAATATAGTTATTTTGTGCAACTAACAATATTGTTTTCATGGAAGAGATTTGACCTAGCTCTATATTTGATGTTTTCTTCTATGTCTATAAAACTCTGATGCATGATTCAGAGAGGAAAATCTCAGGAAGCCTCTCTATTCTAATTTTCCTCACATTTAAGAGAATTTAAGTTATTTTATCCTCTGTAAAACATCCTACAAATTTAGTTTATGGAAGCATGTCTTTATTAGGATATTCATGCAGTGTTATGTGAAAAGTGGAAGGTTACATGCATATATAATAGGAGGTTTTAAAAAATTTGGTAGCAAGAGCAATTCAGCATTTAGTTTAGGTCAAGTTAATGAATTTTGGACATTATTCTTTGCTTTCTATCTGTGATATAAACTTTGTTAAAAGGTATAGAATCTGTGTGTATACGTCATAATATTTTCCCCATATAACAGCATTTCATGGGAACACGGAATAATGCATATCTCAGTTGAAATAAATGTGTATTATTTCTCTCAAATTCTGTGGTCTTATGGAAGGCTTATTATTTAGCTTATCTAGTCTGGGGTCAATGAATGACATAGAAAAGCAGGGAAAATACATTATGGAATATGGGAGGTTGAAATTTTTTTCATGGTTACACTTTTTGTGCTGTGGATTTTGAGCATTTTCATTTTAAATGAAAAAAATACTTTTGATGATGATATTATCTCCTGCTTCTAATAGAAAATCAAGAGGCTTTGAAAGGACTCATACTGTGTTTTATATTTTGTCTTATGTTTCACCCAACTAATTTCTGGTTTAGCTTCTCACCTATGGTGATATTAGCCTCTGACCTTCACTGAAGCTATTAACACTAAATTACAGCCTTTTATAGAAAATATAGATTTGGAGAAGGGAGCACCATGATACTGTTATTAATAATATAGAATATCAATCAGATATAATAATTACTTCCATAGCCTGCATTCATCATTTATTAAAGTTGGTTAACAACCTGTTGTTAGTGTTACCTACTCTACTTTTTAAGAATATTCTTTCTGAAAAAGTGGTTAAATTAAGGGTGGGAATGGATTAGGTGTGGAGGGGTAGAATATATCTAAAAAATCACCAGTTACAAAAAAAGTTTATTCTGAGAAAAATAAACTGAATATTAGTGACTTTACTATACTACTCTGTATTTTCCAGTGGATTTATATGTTCCATGTTTATTTAGTAGTTTATTATTGTTAGCTAAACTAGTTCCCCTGTAGACAATGACATTTAATGGCATTAACTTACTAATGTCATTAGTTAATGACATTAAATTAAACTAGTAGAAGGCTTAAATAAATAAACTTGATTGATTTTTAAAAACATTTCTTCATATCTATGACTATTTTTTTTAGGGTTTTTTAAATGTTTTATTTATTTCTGAGAGAGAGAGGGAGAGACAGCGTGAGCAGGGGAGGGTCAGAGAGAGAGGAGACACAGAATGAAACAGGCTCCAGGCTCTGCGCTGGCTGTCAACACAGAGCCTGACGTGGGGCTCGAACCCACGAATCATGAGACCGTGACCTGAGCCAAAGTCAGACACTCAACCAACTGAGCCACCCAGGCGCCCCCATATCTACGACTTTTAATAGACAAAATAGCTTATGCTATGTAGTGTTTCTATTTCAGTTGACCTTTTCCTGTAAAGTAGTTTCATACTTGAAAAGAGATGTGAGATAGGACAGGTACCTTACTGAGTCAAATATATACATTTCTTATAACACAATTGTTCTATTGACATTTTTAAACTCCTTGAGGGTATAATCCCTTCCAAGACAATTAGAATCATAAATTCTTGGAGTTTGAGTGTACCTTAAAGATTATAAAAATAAATGAGAGGGTTTTTTTTTGGTCTCACTCTCTCTTTTTTAAAAAAATGGGACAGCTGAAGACCTCATTTATACTTCTAACAGTTCATTCATGACATATCCCAAAGTTAAATCAGAACTTACTCTTTCCATTTTTTTCCCTTTTGACATTACACACACACAATATATACATACGTACATGTGTATATGCATATATACACACATACATATATATGCATGCATGTGTGTACAATTACCCCACTTCCCTACACACATTCACTGCCTACTTCTACCTGCCTCAGGGGTAAAAAAGCATAAGTCAACATAATGGAACAAAGAATTAAGTTTATTTTTTCCTTGACCCATTTTTAGATTTCTAAATTGCTCTGCACTAATATTTTAATTTGTAAGTGCTGAATAATTAAGATTTCTCTCTCTGTGGAACTCTCAATTGACTTTTACGAGGAGGTGGAGAACTCTTACAGGATATTCTTGGATGATTGCATATTTAAAAAGGAAAAAAAAAAACAAAATAAAGCTACCTTAGTAATGTCATTAAATTTTCCTTCACAAAGAAAAACATTATAAACTAACTTTCACTTCTTTATTTTCAAGTAGATTGTTTGGTTTTCCTATGCCATATGACAAAGCCAAATATTTGTTTTTTCTTTTTTCCAACTTATAATTCTTATAGTATTTTCACAGATCCTAGGATGGTGAATTTTAGCAATTGCATGTTACAGGTATTGTGACAATTGTATATAAATTCTCATTTAAAATGAGAATAGTGGACACCTCCTACGTTATCAGAAACCTAGAATTTGGGAGAGGGCAGAAACTGATGTATAACCTTGTGGTTTCTGACTGGATCTCCTCTGAGAAGCCTTCAGACCTTAGCCCCTCGGTTCTTGCAAGGGCAGAGGGACAGTCAGGCATCTGCAAAATCTGTATCTCAGACTGACCTTCAAACACATGCTAAGCTTAGACATTCGGGTTGTGAGCTGCAGCTGGGAGCACATGTGGCTCCCAGTTTATTATGTTGAGACACTATTTTAGTTTGCAAAGGCAACCTGATAGGAACTTTTAAAGTTCGCTGTTTCAGCCATGCTTCTTGCTGTTTCTGGTGTTTATTCTGCACAAACAGGATGTACGAGAGTACTGTGTTTTTCAAGGCTGAACCTAATGGTTTGATCATTTTACTGCTTTTTAACTTTTTCCAATACAACAACATTGGTACTTACTTCAAATTTCAAACCGCTCTCTCGCTGATTTTCAGGAGTATTTTCCAGCCCATCACTGTATGTGTAGTCACCCTTCTTTCTAACATCCTTTCTCCTTCAGTGTGGGAGTGGATGTTCTTTTCCATCTCTGCTCCCTCTGATTTCTCCTACCACCCCCCCCCCCGCATCTTCTCCTAGAGTGTCATAGACTTTGGCAATGGCTTTTCATTTGCTTTTCAGAAAATTCTCTGCTATTCCCTGGTTAGAAACTTATTAGAACATACCTTCCCATCTACTAAGTGGATTCAAATATTGAAGTACATTTTCCTTGCTCACTCTGGGTTTTTATTTATTGAAATCTAGGCATATAGTTGGCAACATTTTGTCATTCACCTTCCTTACATGACAGTAATTGTATGTATTATAATTCAGTGCTATGCATATCAATTAAAGTTTGAACCTTATTAATAGTAGTAACTCATTATTGCAAAATTTTGATCTAATAATGGCATATTTTTCTGTTTTGAACTACTCTCCATTAGGTAAAACAGCAAATCAGTTTTTACCCCTTCACATCATTGAGCATGTTCATTATTTTCAAAAAATTATAAAACTAAACTTTTAATATTAAATTTAGAAGAAAGTTTCATAATGGAAAGATAAATTTATGAACAAAAATCACAACTCATAATATGTAGCAAAACTTTCATAATTTGAATTCTAACTTGTCTTTATTGAGCTAAGAGAAGAAGCCATACTTGGATCCATGCTGAAAGTTACAGTTCCCATTGTAACGTCTGCACTGTGACTATACAATTCTAGAATTTCCACTGTCAGTCAGTATCATAAAGGAACTTAGTGAAGATGCATATATAAATACCTAATTAGTTAAAAACTGTAACAGTTTTGTTATGGTATGTTTAAATCTGAGAAAGAGAGATGGGGCTTAATAACAAAAGGCAGTGTAGTAATAATATAAATATATATATTTAGCCAAGGTTAGGAAACTGCCACAACTTCTGATCTTTAGTTTTTTAAGGATTTTCTGTCATTATGTACTCTATTGCAGAGATAACAAACTACGTGTTAGGTCTGTAAAAGACAGCATAAATATTCAGGGGCCTGTGAATACAGCTCATTTAAGCTTATATGATACAAGCTGAGACAAGGTTGACTTGTTGAAAAGCAGAACACTAATGTATACCAGAGTTCGCATTAAGCATATCTTTCATTGCAGCCACTTGGTTTTGTTTTTGCTTGTATATTTTTTATACCATTTCCTAATATATGAGATGAAAAACAAACAAAATCTTCCTCAAAAACAAATCTGCTTTTGCATATAGGCTAATCTATACTGACAATAATATACATTGTATTCATATAAACCTAAAGGGCATGCTTATTTATTATTCATTAATGTCAATGGATAACTGACTGTCACTTGCAGTCAGAGTGGAATCTGACAGAATGCTGACTTTGATTGACGGACATGCTCTTGAGAGTATGCATAGGCAGACTGCTTAGGTCAGTTGAACACATAAAACCATCGCAGACCCAGATTGAACATGAGGAATCTTATTGGTATTTTTATTAAAAACAAAACAAAACAAAACAAAACAAAAAACATTGCATAGACCTAAGACATTTGATCTTAAGATTAAACTTAGGTCTTTACTGCCATACTTATCAAATAACAGTAGTAACTGACTTGATTTAAAAAAAAATCAGTTTCCTGATGCTTCTGGCTCACATCCTAGAGGCAGAATTTTGATTTTGTGCACTCTGCTTTATAGAAAGAGAAATAAGTAAAAATATAAATGAGGATAGTTGCTTTGTACATGCATACCTGAAATTATTGGCATTGTATTGAAGGGAATACTATTTAATGTAGAGGATAAAAGTTAAAGGCATTGATACATAGTCTATATGAAAGTAAAAAGAAAAGGGAACTTGTTCTTAAGTTTTTTTCTTGAATGGTCTCAGCACTGTATATTTTTAAATGGATTCCTTAATCCTAATAAGTATACATGTTTTAATGAGAGTTATTAATACTGTGTCTGGAACAAAATGGCCACAGATATTTTAATTAATAGTTATTTTCAACTATAATTTGCTAATTTTCTCAACTTGGATGAAAGCATTAACACTCAAAAGTGATATGCAGAATTTCAGAACCTTTTTATAGAGGCTTAATGGTTTTATTTCAGAGTACAGGAAAATGATCACATTATATTTTGTCTGCACTTTAACAAAAGGGTTAAAGGGTTAAAGGGTTTTCTAACCTGAGTTAGAAATGGCAGATCCTTGTATCTTCAGTTTTGTGAAATTTACTTTTATTTTTGGTTCTCTCTTTTAGTGCTGAGATAAGTATATTTTACATTCATATATATTTATTAGCTAACTCTGCCATTCCAGATATGCCAATATGTTAAATTATATTTTACATAGAATAATGTTGACAGTTACATATTATAATATTTTAGAGCTTCTGAGTTAGAAACCCATACATACTCGAAATAGTCATTTTTCATAAAATGTGTTACATGTAAATCTGGAAGAACTTTTCATCATTTTAGCGTATGTGTTTTTGAACATTTGAATTTGAGGTTGGGTAATTTCTTTTGGATTATTCAAATATCAGTAACAAATGTCCTACATATTAAAATAGCTCCCAGCCAGGATCTTAAAGCAACATGTAATTTATTACATTGTTATAGCATCTTTGTTGCCATTAAATGTTTTATGTATTTTTTTAGATGGAAAGCAGCTTATTTCAGTGCCAGCCACTAGTAGAAAGCAAAATGGAATGCTGAAAATCATAAAGAATATTTTCATGTACAGTGGTTTTAAAACATGATTGTTGGTAACTGCTTATATAAAATGACTGAGAAGTACTTCTTTCCTACCTGCCGGATAGCTCTGCATAACGTATGTTACGTATGTTAGTCATCAAATAGACAGGAGGTTTTGATTTTCCATGTAGAAGAATACTTTGAGATGCTCTAAGGGTTAATTTTTAGAGACAAATGACATATCACTTTCATTAAAATGACACTGGGAAACTGAGATAAACAGTTCAACGTTTTCTGTCGTGACATGATGTTTGCCTGTTTGACTGCATCCTTTCCGATAGACAGCAGAGATGCAATTACAGAAAAAGACATCTGTGCCAAGGTTTAGCTAGCCAAAAAGGGCAAGCTCTGTGTTTAAAAGGTAGAGAATCCAGTCGATGAAAGTGTCTGGACCTGTTAGCACCAATAAAGCTGAAGGCCACTGGGAAGCTCAGGGAGGGTCTTTTGTTGTGGAGATAGAAAGACACCCAAACTATGACACTTTAGGGGAGCAGGGTCAGCAAAGAAGATCATCCATCTTCTTCAGTGGCAGCTTTCTGTCAGATTCTAACCCTGCTCAGGCAAGGAACTAAGCCTCTACTGTTGACACCAACTGATTCTCAGCCAAGTGTAAATGAAGCTAATATTCACTGACCTTATGCATAGCAAATGAAGCCCTGTGTGTCATTTGAGAAATAATGTTTTCT